CCTAGAAATGCAAGTTAATAAAGTACTAATAGATCTGAAATGATGGAATTGTCTCCTGGAGGACAGCCTGTGGATAAAAAGCCGATTTTAACACCTGACGGACTTGTGCAAACGAATACCACCAATAGTGCGGCTCCAGAAACAGTTTCTAATACACCATCGCCGTCATCAGGCGCAAACACAAATTTGACAGCGATTTTACCTGTCGTATACGAAATTATTCGCTGGTGAGTCCATTAACATCGTTAAGACCTGATTGATTAAATGGCATTTTTTGTTTTATTTTGATCAGTATTTGTTGTATGATTGTGTCTGTACATGACAACAAATACCTTAATTATGTAACGTAATTTTTCTTATTATCGCGATAGTGTGGAAAAAGATCCTCTTGATAACGCTGCTAAACAACGGGAGTCACAAGAGTGTAGTCAAAAAGTGAGTCATATATTTGGTACTAAAATTTACAGCAATAACTACAGGTCCACAATAGATATTGGAATTGCAGAAGCGGTTTGAGATTGCTAGAGTCGAGGTAAAGCAATTGCCAGGAATAGACTACAATAAAGAAGAGCAACTTCAAAGGTTGGAACTGCTACGGAACCAGCTTAAATTAAAACAACAGCTTATCCGTAAATATAAAGATACCACGCTTTAAAATAACAGTAAAATATAAGGTGGAACTAATATAAATGCAAAATGGTATTTCGATTCTTGCTACGGTATTTGGCTAACAATGAACAGCTAATACAGCGCATGGCTGAAAGTTATCCCATGCGGCGCGCTGCTCAAATGGTTGTATCCATCATGTATCGTACAAAGAATATTGCTCAGGAGCGTGGTTTACATGAGATGACGCCCCAGCGCTTTAAGTGAGTTTTTTTTTTTTAAGAATGGTACGGAAAAAAATTAAAAAAATCCTTTAATTACAGATCTTTTATGGCTCTTTTTAAAAATAATTTTTTTTTTAAGAATGGTACGGAAAAAAATTAAAAAAATCCTTTAATTACAGATCTTTTATGGCTCTTTTTAAAAATAACATCAAGAAAGAAATAGAAGGACTAAAGGATGAAATAAAGAAAAAACCTTTTTGAAAAGATTATTTTGTTGGATAATAAATATTAATCTGTATGATAAAAACTGTAAAATATGAAATAAGTATAATAAGCAGGCCCAGAAAATATCCATTTTTAATTTTAATTATATAAAAATGATTCTCAAACTCAGAAAAAGTGCTGATAAGGTAAAATCCTATCGACAAAGTAGCGTACTACACATAATTTCCAAAATCATGGAAGTTCTTCATAAAATGTTGATTCCAATCATAGAAAAGCGAGCACTTATTCCCAATAAAATATTTTGGCTTCATGAAAAAACACCGCTTAATTGAACAAGTCCACAGGCTTGTTGAAAATATTTACTCTGCCGTTGACCAAAAAAATATTCTGCTGCCGGAATTCACCTGGTTGTAAATGCGCCTTATTATGTTACAAACGGGCAACTGCACCGTGATCCTAACCTCCTAACAGTTGCAGAAGAAAACAAAAAGCAAGCTCACTCTTATAATCTAAGACTGGAAACCCATCCTAACCCATTTATAACAGAAATGACTGTCCCGGCTGAAGAGATCTGCAAAAGATCGCGCGAAAGTATTCACGGCTATCACAGAATCAATCCATCGTAGTCCGATTTATGATGAAATCTACAAAAATACTATTATTGAACTCGCGTAGCTACGAACGCAGCACACAGCCTGGGCGGAACTCGAGCTACGTATATGGGATCGTTACAAGGAACTGAATAGGGAAGGGCAATAAGAAATACGTGAGTGCAAACAGCTTCAAAATGCTGTCCGACAGCAAGAACACCAGAAAACGAATCGTAGTTTTTGATTTTTTCCGGATATAACGGCCCTTATTATGAGCTGCATTCGATTTTCGATCTTCGCTGGCTATCGAAGATCGAAAGTGGAATTCGTATTATGAGCTATGCAAGCGTGTCGAAATTTTCGTTGAGTATCGAATTTTCTGTCGAACAGAATTTTGCTTTCGATGGTGTAGCGAAGTGTTAGAAAATTGTGAAAAATGTATGATTTTGTATATGTTTTCTTACATTTTGGCGGCTAGACATTAATTTTAAACAATTTTTATTAATTTCATGCAGTTCTAACATCTTGAATACTAAACACAAGCTCGAAAGGCTGGTTTTACTTGTGAAAGAAAATCCCAATACTCTGTTGGCACGATCTCTGAGAACAAAATCGTAGCGCTGTTGATAGTTTTAAAATATTTTAAATAGATTTGGCTCACAAACGCCTCTTTAGATGGTCGGAACTTTTTAATGAATCTGTAGACAAATTTCTTAAATATATTTTATATCAAAATATATTCGAAAGACTAATAAACTTAAACTCTCTTAAACATTTGCTACTCCTGGCCAGTTTACTAAGCTCTCATCCTCTGACGAATCGTTGAACCAGAACTCGTTGTACTCATTTTACCACGTTTTTATAAACTTGCTTTCTTTTTTACTTCATTTTAATTAGAACAAATTTACATAAATATGTATAAGCACACTATTTAGTTTGCTCGATTTGTAAACAAAGCTTCTCAGCGGTGAAAAATATAATATTGTGAACAAACTAAACGAGCGAAATTCACAATAGCGCTATTCTTCATCGAATGAGTGCCATAATACCAAATGCAAATTCGTTCGCTCAGCACATTCGACCACAGTCGAAAATCGAATGCAAATCATAATAGGGGCCAACGTTATATGGGACGTGGGCGTGGTTACCCTCCGATTTCGGCTATTTCCAATACCAATCTATCTAGAATAAAGAGCAACCTTTATACCAAATTTCGTTAAGATATACAAAACCGCGTATCGTGGCTCCGTAAAACCTCGGTAACTGACATTTGTGCCAAAAAAGGTATTTGCTCACCGAAAGCCCTTATCCATTTATACTACAAGTAATTTTTAGCAAAAAAAAAACCGACTTAAACTCTCATAAAAAAGAAATATATATATATATATATATATATATCATGATCCACTGATCGGATCTTAACCAGATTAGTGTGGGACCACCTCTGAGACACTACCTTTCTGATGCAAAAATCGGTTGACGTGGTCCAAAGTTATGCGGTAACATACATAAAAAAAAA